ATTTGCTGGCTCTCTGAACTGCGCAGAATCATAACAACCGGTTCTATAGAACCGGTCCGAACCAGTAGAATTCCATCCCTGGCTATTATTCTAAGGGAGAACAATCTAAAGGAAATCTCATTTGGGACCAGGCAAATTAATACAAAAGGCAAACACCTTCCATGCAATCTTTGCATGAATGAAAACAAGAACTTTGAGGAGCAGAACTAAAACAGGAAGGGCAGATAACACTTTCTCGCAGTGAAAATGCAGGGGCCTCCTGAAAGAGAGAAAACAAGCACAGCCCTCCATTAATAAAAGATCTGAGCCAAGCTGTAAAAAGAGATCCGTCTAAATTTGAACGGGAGAAAAATGAAAGTTTTGGAAGGAGCTGACGGCGGTTTGCCAGAACAGCTTGGAAAGACTGTAAGCCAGGCGACGTGTCTGCAGGGCAAGCAAGAATTAAGTTTGGAAACTTAAGAGGAACGAAGCCACTGCAGATAAGGAGCGCATTAATGCTCTACTAACGATCAGCTGTCAAACGAAAAACAAGAAGCTTTGAGTGGGATACCTCTTTTGGGACTGGTAGGAGGTGGAAGTCGCAGCTTGATGGTGGAAGCTAAAAAAGAAAAAGAAAAAAGACAGTGTATTTTTTAACTACAGAAGAATAAAACAGGTGTGATGGAGGCATAACATTTCCAACAACAACAAAAATAAGCAAGATTTGTGAAGAGGGGAACACACACAGAAGATCTGAAATTCATTATTTTTGTTACAGCAAAGGGACACGTAACATGTGCTCCATAAAAAGTAGAGTTAGTAACAGTAACAGAGTTAGAGGGGGTCTTGGAGGTCATCTAGTCCAGCCCCTTGCTCAAACAGGAGACAGTTTCAGACAAATGGCTGCCCAGCCTCTTCTTTAAAAGCCTCCAGTGATGTAGCACCCACAATTTCTGGTGGCAAGCTGTTCCGCTGTGTAATTGTTTTCACTGTCAGGAATTTTCTCCTTAATTCTAGGTTGCTTTTTTTCCTCAATGAGTCTCCATCCCTTGTTTCTTGTCTTGTCTTCTGGTGCTTTGGAAAATAAATTGGCCTCCTCTTCTCTGTGGCAGCCCTTCAGGTAATGGAAGACTGTTAGCCTTCTTTTCATTAGACTAGACATACCCAGTTCCTGCAATGATTAGGCCCCTAAGCAACTTTGTTGCTCTTCTCTGAATTCTTTCCAGTGTGCCAACATCTTTTTTTGTAATGTGGTGACCAAAACTGGATGCACTATTCCAAGTGTGGTCTTACTAAGGCTTTATAAAGTGGCACCATTACTTTGCGTGATCTTGATTCTATCCATCTGTTAATACAACCCAGTGTTACATTTGCTTTTCTTTTTACTGTTGCCGCACATTGTTGGCTCACGGTTAGATGGTTGCCGCTAGGACACCAAGATCCCTCTCCTCGTCCTTGGCTTATAACAACAACAGGGACTGGAATTTCCCTGGCTAAGCAAAATCGTTGTTCAGTGGCTCGTGCCCAATTTTACAACCTCTCTAAGCTACTGGCCATGAATAAATGAACCACAAGGCCGTTAAGCAAATCCAGCTTCTCCTGTTGACTTTGCTGGTTGGAAACCACTGGGATTGTCAGCCTTGGAAGCCATATTTTACTTGGAAGCTTCGAGGTTGCCACATTTAGTGCCTGGGAATTTGGGAAGGGGATTTCTTAGAGAGTGGAAGATTAGACTCAACAACATTCTTTTCTCAGAGAGTCAAGGACATGTTACCCTGCACCTGGATGGGAGTTTCTGGAGGAAGGTCTCCAGTTAGGACGATGGTTTGATTGGACCATTGTGATGGCTTGGTGAGTGCAGGGAATTTCTTTTGGGAGGGGAAAACCTGGAACTCTCAGATTTGGGTTTTCCCAGATGTGCCAAAATGACAACTCAAGTAAAAATGGAACTTTGAGGAAATGCCTGTCTCAGAGTTTATTGGTTTGGAGTTTGTTAGTTGGAACACTGACAGTGATCCCATCATCCCAGATGCTGCAACTCTTCTAAATACGTGTCACTCGCCAAGCACCCCAAATTGGGATGCTGTAGGGAGTCTTGAATGTGACGAGCCACAAGTCTCTTTTTTCAGTGCCGTTGTCATTTCCGACATTAGCTAAATGAATAGTTGTTATGCTGAAGACTGTACATTCTTAAGGGATAGAATAGAATAACAGAGTTGGAAGGGATCTTGGAGGTCTTCTAGTCCAACCCCCTGCCTAGGCAGGAAACCCTATACCATTTCATGCAAATGGTTCTCCAATCTCTACTTTAAAAGCTTCCAGTGTTGGAGAACTTATGAGTTGTGGAGGCAAGTTGTTCCACTCATTAATTGTTCTAACTGTCAGGAAATTTCTCCTTAGTTCTAAGTTGCTTCTCTTCTTGATAAGTTTCCACCCATTGCTGCTTGTCCTACCCTCAGGTGGTTTGGGAGAATAGCTTGACTCCCTCTGCTTTGTGGCAGCCCCTGAGAGCACTGCATTTGTAGCAGAGGGCTATTACCACCAAACAACCATCTACCGGGTTTTTCCTGGTGTTTCTATCTCTCAGAGAGGCAGAGGTTTAGCTGGTGCCTGCTCTTCCAATTAACCATGGGGACTGGAATGAATTTGCTCTGTTTCTTATAATTTCTACCCGTTTTCTCCTCTTTTGACTGTCTGCAAGAAGCTCTAATCGTTTTCCTTTGGGGGTCAGTCAGACCTTGTTTAAGATATCTACCAAATCTTAAAAGGCAGTCTTACACTCTGTTAAATTGGTTTGAAGAAACTTTAACTTAAAATGTTGTTCTAACAAAACTTAGCTCTGGGTTTGTCAAAAACTCTTGAGGATTGAGATGGGGAGGGTACTGAAATTCGACAGATAAATAAATAAACAGCTTTGTAACCCATGAACTGACTGATAGCAAACATACTACAGTTAAAACAGTGGCCCTTTGTTGCACCTCAGCAATCAAATTCATTCATTCATTCATTCATTCATTCATTCATTCATTCATTCATTCATTCATGACATTTATATAGTCATCCATCTTATACCCATCTCTGGGTAGGTATAGAAATAATTTGCAGATAAAATACAGGAAAGGAATTCTTCCAAATTCTCATGGCTGTGTTGGATGAGAAGAAGAAGGGATAGAAAAGTTCCTTTTAGGCTATAATTCAGAAAAATATAACAACATCTTCATGATTGTAAATGTGGCTGAACAGATAATAAGGAATTAAGAGTTGCAGCTTAACCATTAGATGTAGGATGGATGTGAGACACCAAGAAGTCTCCAGACCAAATCTGTGTTTCCTTGTGTAGCTCTTAAGCAATTTTACAAAACTTCTTACAACTCAAAATATGAGATCAGCTCCATACTTGTAGGTTAGAAGGAGAAATCATGTTTAGAAAAGTTAAAGACAACCAGCTATTTACAAAGTCATCGACACAACATCAAATATCAGAAACAACATAAGAACAACAACAAAAGAATTAAAAACTACTCAAACAAGGGAAAAAAAAACAAAATTTGGGAGAATAACTTGTATAAATACAATTATAATCTTTAGGAGAAATGTAAAATGTTAAACATCCCAATATAACACTTTCAGCTGGCACGTATTTGGATAGCTAGATCAAAGCAATATATTGGCAATTTTTCTGTTGACGCATTTAGTGAAGGCTAAATGTCAGTAAAACAATTTGTATTTAAATGACACTGCATGGAAAGATCCGTGGAAGATTGTTTTTATATAGGATTACTGTTGTGAGGATTCCGAAACATCCACAATGGAAGGATGCCTTTTGAAGTTGACAGAGCTAGCAGAAATGTCAAATTAACCTGTTTGATTAGAGAAAGATTAACAACGGAAACCTTATGGACTTTTTGCTGAAAAAGGAAAAAAAAAAACAAGAAAAATGAGTTTATGAATTATGGATTTGAAGATTAGAAAAGATCATTTATTTTGGAACATTGTAACTTTAGAGAGCAACATATAAATGAACTGCTGTCAAGAAGATTAGAAGCTGTTTTTATAATTTCCCTTTTCTTTTTCCTCCCATTTCTATTTTCTTTTTGCTCTATTTTCTATTCTTTGTTAACATTATTTTCTCTTATGGTTTTTACTTTGTTAAGAATTTCCTTAATAAAAATGGTATGTGTGTGTGTTTCTCTCTCTCTCTCTCTCTCTCTCTGTGTGTGTCTGTGTGTGTATAAAATGATACTCTAAGCTACTTTGCTATTGCATTAAATTTTTGAGCTAATGAGGTTTCCCATTCTTGTCTAAATACCACCGATTTTTAAAAGCTGCACTCTAGTTTTTTGATGCTCTGCCTTAATAAATCTGGCAGCTAACAAGTGAATTAAATTTCTCCTGGTGCACCATTTTACATCTCCTTGGGAGCAATCAAGCCGCACTAGTGTTATTTATGAAGGACTGTTGTGCAATCTTTCTAATTTCCCGAAAAGTTTCAGTCAGAGGGAGTAGCTGAAATGGCATTGCTCCAGAGATGGTAATATACATCAGTACGAGTACAAACACAGTCTAGACATGGGAAGTTTAAGGTTACCGTGTCTGGAAAGCAACAAGCCTGAGATAAGGCTGCCATCAAAATAGGTGGTCACCTTCAGGGGTGGGTTTCAAAAATTTGAGCAAAGGGTTCTCTGCCTGGTGGTTGGGTGGGCGTGGCCATGGTGGGCATAGCCTAGTTGGCCTCCTGCACCAGAGCAGGGGGTTCGTTTTTGTCCTCCCCAGGCTCCGGAGGCTTTCCTTGAGCCTCTGGGAGGATGAAAATGGCCTCCCTGGGCTCTGGAGACTTTCTGGTCCATTTATGGCCTTCCAAACTTCTGGGAGGCCCATTTTTCGCCCTCCCTGAGCCTCTGTGCATGCCCTGCATGTACCTGCATCCAAAACAGGCCGCATGGAGACGCCTGGGAGGGGTGGGGCAGGATGGGCGGGGCCAGCGAGGAATGGGATTTGGGGTTCTTCAAACTGTGCAGAATCTTAGCTAGAGGCTCTCCTGAACCCCCAGCAGCTCCCCCCTGGTCACCACATCCAAGATCAATAAATGAACAGCAATTTGGTGGTCACCATGTATAGACAGGGGAATGGCACCTAGACTTAAATCCTGAGGAGTCTCTTAACAAAGGAGGATTGAATTGTGTGCATCTGCACTAGCTAGCTTTCTTCCTGGACTAGAAGACTTCTAAGATCCCTTCCAGCCCTACAATTCCACATTCTTCATGACTAGGTCTTCTTGGACCTGCCATAAAAACAGCTGGCCTATCCATATCCAAGCCATGTCCTCGCCTCTCCGCTGCTAGCTCCCAGCTTGTGGGGTTTTTTAGAGAACACTGGATGAAGCTCACAGAAGAGAGAGTTGGATGGATATAATGTGGTTTTAAGGAGATATAGCTAGGAGTTGAAAGGTAACAAAATTATCTTCAGTATCAGTGTCTAAATTTTAATCAGGAGGCTGTGAGTTCGATACTAGGTCGAGGTAGATATTTTTCTCTCTGGACACACTGAGGATATATCTGCTGAAAAAAAACTCCGTATTGGCAACAGGGAGGGCATCTGGCCAGTAAACACTCAGCTCCATTCAGTTGCTCAGATTGCCCGCAAGGGATTTATGGGATCGTTAAAAGAGGATGATCAGTATCGGAATCTTAAGGGGATGTTGCATATTATTATTGTCTCTGAATTATTTCAGTCCACAGTTCTTGAGAGAGAATTAAAAAAAAAAAAAGATTGGAATATTCTGACCTTGGCATGTCCATTTCAACATTTATCCCAGCTCTAGCCCTGGTCTTGAACTTTGGACAAGGACCCATTTTCTAGTGCTGAAATTGGTCTTCCAAACTCTGTACCAATGTGACCATTGTCTCTTTCAGGAGAAATCACTTCTGATACACGGATCCTACTTGAGTGTCAGTATGCCATTCCACTTTTGGAATGTGCCAGGAAGAGGGAAAAATGCTTTGCACACTTCGAACTCCTCATGATTTATTGAAACCGATTTTAAAAGCAAACTGATACCACCAGAATTCTACATTACAGTTGTCAGTTGGATACCGTTGCATATAATATAAAAGTTTATGTAGTACCACAGAGACTTCTTTCATTTCAAATTACAAGAATAAATAGTATTCTGATGAGCTTAATTCCTCTTCCTGTCTCTGATAAGAATAGCTGATACTGGGAACCATTGCTTAAATGCTGAATCCAAGAACTTGGAGAAGATCCAAGATCTCAAGAATCTGAGAGTCTTGGAAAGATGAACATATTACCAACTTTCCTGATTCTTCAAGATCTGGAATCAACTGAAACAGGGGTAAGATTTGATACCTCTGAATGTAGGCTCCATAAAAATATGATTTCAGCTACAGTATTTTGAGGGTTAAAATTCTTTGTGGTCGGAGCTCCTGTTTTCAATTGTCTTTGAATTCCTGTGACCAATTCAGCTTTAGATTTCGGGAATGTTTCCAAACTCCTTTAATGATAAATGTTTGAATTTAAGACTTTTCAAGTTCTTTGGTCTGACTAACAATTCCTGACTCAAGCTACCACCACTTCTTCCTCATTTCAAGCAGCATGACTTCTGGCCCAAAGCCAGATTTTGTAATTAATTTCTGAACACCTCCGAGTAAAAGTCTTGCCATTTCTTTTGAAACCGAGTTGGAACTTGTGACTCATTTTCTTGCGGAATAGATTTAGCAGAAAACATTTTCCCATCGATTAATAAATATCTAATTGAATAAAGTGCTTTCTCTTCCCACTCCCTGAAAACTTCTTATTTATTTGGCTGCTTCAAATGTGCCTGATAATGAAATTGAAGATGATGTAAAGGAACAAGACCAGAATTTATTTTTACTTTGTGCATGTATCTATGTTGAATTTTAAATATGAATTGATCATAGTTAGATCTCTTTCTGAGTTACAGTTTTCATTTGCCTCAAAAGATCAACAAATCTGTTAGAAAAGGCTTTCCTGTCCAGTGAGATACATCTACCATTCTCCATCCTTAGTACATTGCAACTGAGTCCTGATTAATATTGCAAGAAAGAACTATTGGTGGATAAGCAAAGTAGAAGACTGGCACATATCCACAAAGCTTGTGATAAAATGGGGTGCTATGAATACCCCTTTAACAGACTGGAACTGCTTATGTCTCCAAGTTCTTTGGGACAATCAAGGTTCCTTCTCAAGTTGTATGAAATGCAAAGTGCTTCAAATGCACTGTGCCTCATTTAATAAGAAGGAATGGAAAGGCCTAACCATGTTCATCATTCCCACAAGACCTGCTGTGGTCCACCTCTGCCGACAGTGAGGAGGAACATGGGCCAGTCCTGGAATCTGGGAGAGCTCGGATGTGGGATCTGGCTCTGACACAGAGATGGGGCCAGGGCCATCTGGGAGTAATGTGCTGACTCTGGAGCCTCCAGAATCCAGACATCAGCAAGGCAGAGGACCAGGGGGAGCCTGTTCCCAATGCACGCTTGTACAGAGCTGCCAGAAGGCAAGAACAGTTAAGACAAAAGGGGAAAATCAGGAGTAAGGGCTTGGAGATAATTAGCTCCTCCCATAAGACATAAAGGAGGAGCAAAGGGATATGAGCCTTTGCAGGAAGCAACTTTGTTCGTTCTGGTCAGTTTTAAATCTGAAGCTCCATGTTGACTTTGTGCTCCATTTGGCTTTGTACAGTTAATTGGCAATTTAGTTGTTAGCAGCATTTCAAGGGAGATAAAGGTGGGTGCTTATCAGCCTTATCCTGAAGGATTGCGGCAGGCTTCTGTTGGACTATTCACAAACTGTTTGGGACTCATTGTGGGCTGTGAATGCATATAGTACACAGCCGTTGAAATAAAACAAAACGTTTTTGGGAACAACGTGTGATTGTTACTGTCTCAGGAAGCCTTGGTCAGAACAAGACCTCAGAAAAGTTTTTGGACTTTTATTCCATGGTTTAACTCAAGTGAGATTTTAAAACGAGGTTGATGATTTAGACCCTTCAAGCAGGGGTGGGATTCTACCGGTATGGCCCAGTTCAGGCGAACCGGTAGCTCTGAAGATTAGCTGGGAGCAAACTGGTTCGGTTTGCTCTGATGATCAGCTGTTGGGCCCACCTGCCCGCCCGGCTCTAGGCTGTGCTTTATATCCTGTTTTTCAAGGTCAGCTGATCTGCACGTCAAAGCAGATTGCCTCACACCAGCTGTTTAACGCACAGGGATTGCTGGAGATCAGGTCAGTAGCAAAAGCTCTGTGCACGTGCGAACTGTGCCTTTGGCACGCATCCATGCACAAAGCGTGCGCTCACCTAACTGGTTGAATGGCACCCCTGCCTTCAAGGACGGCTTTTGAATTATATGACCAGCAAATGCTTATTTGGAAACAAGGTTCTGTCTTCCTCTCTCTCTCTTCCCCTCCTCTTTCATCTCTCTTATGAATCAGCCTGTCCTTTTCCAGATCTCAAATGAATCGAACACGGGGATTGCAAGTATCACAAAAGTCGCTTACAAAGCAATGGCCACAGCTATTTAATGGCCCAAGAAGGAAGCTTTGCTTTGCGGGGAAAAACTCCATAGATGTGAGTCAACATTGAACTACTCCGTTTTCAGAGTTCTGCCAACTATTTTTTTTGGCAGCCTATCTTAAGCCAACAACAATAATAATAAAATGCTTGACTTTTAAGTAATGATCTACACACATGATTTCTAGAGTTTAAACCGCAGCTCACGAGGCTATTCTCTTCTGCAGGTAAAAACAGGGGAAAGAGTTTATTTTCCTAAAGCTGCCTGGAGAATTTTTGGACTGAGATGGGATCACAGACACTCAGCACATGGCTAGCAGAATTCTTTATTAATATTGATTAATATTTCATGTGGTAGCAAAGTACTACCAACTGCCTAGAATATTCCAAGAAACTTTTTTAAAAGAATCAATTAATTACGTACAATTTAATGTCTTTTTCTGGGAAAAGATCCAGCTGTTGTAACAGGGGATTTAGTGTACCCTGAAAGAATGAAAAGAACATAGGTGGATTTTTCTGGCTTTCTGTGAATCTAGAAATGAAGCTTTGATTTGCACGGGTGACCGATCACACTGGCATCCTCCCAAGGAAATGTGATCCATTGGAATTCATTGTCCTAGTTTAGATAATTCCAGTGAAGGTTTACAGATTATGAGCAGAAAAAAAAACCCACCTCTGGACTAACCAGGTATGTACAAAGATGGGCCCTGATATGAGATCATCATTATTTTATGACCCCATAATCCTTTGTGGAGTGGAGTCTGGGAAACTGAATCGAACTGGCAGAGCGTTTAATGGCCAGATGCCCTCCCTGTTGCCAATGCGGAGTTTTGTTCAGCAGATAGATTCTCAGTGTGCCCAGAGAGAACTCTACCTAAGATCGAACCTGACTGTGAGGCGAGAGTTCCACCTCTAGGCCACCGCACCACTTGCCCTGATACGAGATGATCAGAGTGATAATATTAATCATACAGTGATGCAATTTTGCGAGTGATTTGTGCGTTGTGAGTTTGCAGACTGGTCTTCTCCAAACTAAGCTTTTCCGAAAACTGAGATCAATTTTTTGGGGGGTAAGCACAGTTTCAGTTGCTAAACTGAAGCAATTATTCAGTAGAAGACAATGCAATGACAGAGGTTTTAAAACAGCCCTAACAAAAATGCATGGATTACCCTGATATTCTTTTTTTTTTTTTACAGGAATTTGTATTCCTGGTTATTGCCTGCATCTCTTCAAGGGACCCCCTAGAAGATGGCTAACCTTGTGGAGAACAACTTATCGTACAGTACTAAAGGTTCCAAGATACGTGGAACGTGGTTTTTTGTTTTTGTTTTGCCCTTCCCACTTCCCCTTAAATTGAATTAATTCCTTGTCCTAGTGGAGGGCACACACCAAAGCAACTGGATGGAGCAAACAAGCACAAAATTTTACCTTTGGCAGGAGGATGAGATGGAGTCATAAGCCCCAGATGAAGCAGAAGCTGGCAGCAGCGTCATCCGATGGACACCACTGTGAGAAGAAGTAGAAGCAGCAGCAGCAGCAGCAGCAGAAGACGGACTGGCCGAAGCAGCAGGCATAGCAGGAGGAGCGCAGCTGATAGACACAGGCTCATGCTCAACAGGGGTACTAAAGTTAAAGTTAAATTGGATAAAACAAGATGTATCTTTAAATGCTGGGCCTCGACTGGTCCACCAAGGTGGTAGGTCAACAAAGATACATACAAAGAGGCAGGTGAACTTGCTTCAGGGTTTTGGAAGCACAGCTCAAAAGGACCATGGAGATCAGGGGTGGAGGACATTGGATAGGGCTTGGGTACACTTGGGGTGGTGGTGGTAAGAGACTAAGAGAGTCCGCTCACCAGCTCTCTGCATCCCCACTGTGGGAAGATGCATCAGTTGGCCAATCCAGGGAGGAGATGTGATAGGATCTAGATCATGGGTAGCATCATGTTGTCGTCACGTGACTTCAACCCTGAAGCTGGCCTAACCAACGCCATTTTGGCCGCTTCAGTGTTGCCACACGGGACCTGAGGGATAGGGAGTGGGTAGTTGAAATAGAGGGGATTTTGTAGCCAAAATAAAACACTTTCTCTTGGGAACCGAGGACTTTCTCACACCTGGTTGGAGGAAAGCGGAGCGATGCTACCTGGCTGTCAGACCGCATGGTGACTGGACCTTGTGACTGATTGTTTTGAGAAGTAGAAAATCTTTCACTTTTAATTAGGTGAAAACCGTGGGAGTTTTCAGAGTCGGTTTGTACCAGTTATGTGCCAATATGATTATCCCAATAAAAGTATTCTTTGAGGAAATCAGTTGGCTTGGAGTCTTGCTTGCCATGGATTTATTACTTGGAATCCTGACAGTGACGAATCGTGACTTTTTCCCCTTCACTAAACTGGGGGTGGGCGTGGCCAGCGCATGACGCATCTGGCCCACAGGCCACGACTTTAACACCCCTGATCTAGATCATACAGGTGGGGAAAGGATTGGCCTTTTTCATTATTGTTGGATCCGCAAATTTTCAGCATCCTCTGAGCTGTTGATTTAAAAAAAATGGGGTGCATGTGATAACAAACAGGGTATCAAAAGGAAAGGTGGAAGGAAAGAATGGTAATGTTTGGAGGCCTCTTCATACTGACAACGAATTATTGCTTGAGCATATTTCTTAGCATTTTCTTCTTTTACCCAACTTGGCTGCTTTTAGAACACCTCTCTCTCTCTCTTTCTTTCTCTCTCTCTCCCTCCCTCCCTCCCTCTCTCTCTTTCTCACACACACATGTGCTAAGTAGAAGGCTGGTTCTGTCAATTTTTGACCTGGTCATCAGTTCTCAGATTATTACTAGTTTAATTCATGTCTCATCTCGTTCACCCTCTTCTTTCTCTATTGACCTGTATAATTCCTTCAAGGAAAGTACTTCTGGGATCCAGCCTTGGCCAAATGAACCTGACATCTTAATTCTCCATTGTACATCTTTATAACCTGAACATGTCCTCTTTTAGGGGTTACAGTTCCTCAAAACCAAATGTTTGCACATCTTATTTAGATATAGAGCCTCAGTGGTTAAAGTGCAGTACTGCAGGCTACCTCTGCTGACTGCCGGCTGCTTGAACTTCGGCAGATTGAATCTCACCAGGCTCAAGGTTGATTCAGATTTCCATCATTCCAAGGTGGGTAAAATAAGGACCCAAATTGTTAGGGGCAAGAAGCTGACTCTTTAATCCATTTAGGGAGGGCTGGAAAGCACTATAAAGTGGTATATAAGTCTAAGTACTATTGCTATTATTTCTATAACCATAGGGAACACTTCATCTCTTTGGGGATCCTCTTCTGATGGGAACAAAGCCTAGCTTTCCACATGCAGGTGAGATTTAGTTATCAGGGAGACCATTCAAATGTGATCCACTTATTCGTTGGATTTGTACCAGATATGTACAAATATTCCAAAGGGTTGGGCTGATCATCTACTACATCTATATGATGCTACTACATCTACTGCATGGAGGCCTAAAACTAGAACAGCTGGGCCTTGTCAAGAACATTATACCATCACAACATGGCATAGCAAATTGGGTTATGAGACTCATCAAGAGCAAACTACCCACTTCCCTGCCCTTCAGGAGAAAATTAGAGGAATAGGAAGACTCGAGAAATGGCAGTCAGCATCCTACAGCAGAGATCTCCAACCTTGGTAATTTTAAGACTTGTGGATTTCAGCTCCCAGAATTCCCCAATCAGCCATGCTATGAGATTCTGGGAGTTGAAGTCCACAAATCTTAAAGTTGCCAGGGTTGGAGACCCCTGCCCTACAGCATTCTCCAGCACCATCCCAAGGACACACTCAAGAGATCATTAATGACTGGAACAAAATACAGGTAGCCACAACAATTTGGCCTTATGGTTTCTTCGGGAGCATTTTAAGTGACTTAGCTGCCAAGAATTGTGAGACCCTTCAAACATCATTACCATCATTTATATGAGCACCAGACACACAATTGATCTCATTTAATACCTCAGTGGATTTTGCCTTTATTAACTATTACCTCAGTGACAATACCGTCTGATTTTCCAGTTATCAGTTAAAGGGAAGGAAGAGTGGCAAGTGGAATTAGACAGTGACATGAATTGGACAGTGATAGGAAGTGGATCACTGCCAGGTTCTTTCACTAGTCCATTAGTATAAAATCCTTACCAAATTTGATATCCTGCAGAATAGATCTGTTATTTTCTAACTTTTATTTATGAGTTACCCTACTAGGTGTAAATCTAGAGTCCAGCTGTTTCAGGAAAGCGTTTTCCGTAGACACTGTTCTCCACAGACCCAGACATGACATCTCCTGCTGATATGATAGAGAGTATTTAGGGTGTGTTTGGGGTCAATTTTGAGGCGTTTGGGCTGATAATTTTGGACTTCATTGCATTGGTTGATCTCAGAGCTGGATCTAGTCCAGACATAATTTTGTAGAGTTTGTGCTTCACAGTGGAATGCAAGATCAGTGATACTGGGAAAGCTACCTTTCCGGCTCTTCTTTGAATATTTTAGCTCTTGAAAATTATGTTATTACATTTTCTGTAGCAAAATTTTTTTTGATCTGAATCCTCAGAATGTGCTTAGGTTTCTTTCCAAATATTTCAAGTCGATAGTTAGTTATCCCACTAAAAAAGGAACATGTTGAACATTCCATGTATCTTATTTTTAGTTCCAATATTCACTGGAAAAATATAAAACCTTTTTTCATCCTTGTGCACAAAAACACACACACATTCTCCAGGTGGGTCTTGAGCAATTCAAAAAAGATTGCAATTCCTTTTTTTAAAAAAAGATCAGGCAAGATGGAAGTGTTTTATCTGGGCAAACTCACTCCAGGTTTGCTACTATCATCTACTACTCTACCTGCTAGAAATTGACTTTGTTAAAGCCCTCTGTGGACAACTGTGATCATGCCAAAGTCTGAGAATCTCTAAAGTAGTACAGTTTCATTCAAAGCATTAAGTACTCCACAGTTATCCATTTTCCTTTTTTCCCCTTCTCTGGATTTTGTTCAAGTCCACTGTGGAGAACTGTGATCCTGCAAATTTCGAGAATTTCTAATGTTGTATAGTTACATACAAACCATTTATCTTTAAGTACACTACGGTCTTCCAATACGTATAATTTCCTTTTTTCCCCCGTCTCTGTTTTGTACTTTGTGTTCTGAAGCTCTCTGTAAGAGTCCTAAACAACCTCAAGCTTGTGGAAATTAAAAGAAGACCAACAAATGATGTATAACAGTAAGCCACAAACAGTTGTATGATCACAACGATATGATAGCAACCAGGATGAGTATCAAATTAGTTAATAAAAATCAGGAAGGAAATCACAAGTGATGAAGTGGAGAAAAAAGAAAAGGGAAGGGAAAAGAACCAAAATTCTAAAAGTATCAAGGTAATCATCTAAGCAACTACAGGTAGTCCTTGACTTACAACAGTTCATTTAGTGACCATACAAAGTTACAATGGCATGGAAATGAGAGACTTATGACCGTTTTTCATACATGACCAGGGCTCTCCAAACTTGGCAACTTTAAGACTTGTGGACTTCAACTCTTAGAATTCTTGGAGTTGAAGTCCACAAGCCTTAAAATTGCCAAGTTTGGGGTCCCCTGCTTGAGACCATTGGTCATAGTCACATGACCAAAATTCAGATGCTTGCCAACCGGTTCATACTTACAACCATTGCTGGGTCCCAAGGTCACGTGATCTCAACTTTTGCGACCTCCTGACGAATCAATGGGGAAGCCAGATTTACCTAACTACCATATTACTAACTTAGCAACTGCGGTGATTCACCGAACACCTGTGGCAAGAATGGTCGGAAAATGGGACAAAATTCACTTGACACCTGTATAGCCTAGCAACAGAAATCTTGAGCTCAATTGTAGATGTAAATCGAGGACTAGCTATATAACCCTTCAAGCAAGCAGCCGGTGACTCAATTTGCTATAGCCGTGAGCTTCAATTCTCGATTTATTGAAATAATAATTTGATTTACATATGAAATAGATATTTTCTGTACACACACACACATAACACAGACAAATACATGTGTGCTATTTGTTAATTCTCCTCACCTGGTTTGGGAGGAAAAAAAAATAGCAAAAACAAAACAAAAAAAAGAAACAGGCAAAAAACATCCAGTTTTTTACAAGTGACATAATAACACACCCAACATACAAGGAAAAAAATGTGAATTAACCCAGAATACAGGTAGTCCACAACTTGCAACAATTCATTTAGTGACTGTTCAAAGTTACTACAGCACTGAAAAAAATATGACAGTTTTTCACACATACGACTATTTTGCAACGCCCCCAGGGCCTTGTGATCAAAATTCGGATGCTTGGCAACTGATTCATAGTTATGAGGGGAGGTTTCTGCCAGGGGTGGGCTTCAAAAATTTTAGCAACGGGTTCTCTGCCTGGTTGCTGGGTGGGTGTGGCCATGGTGGGTGTGGCCTAGTCAGCCTCCTGCACCGTGGCGGTGTGTGTATGTTTTTGCCCTCCCCGGGCTCCGGAGGCTTTCCTCCAGGGTGAAAATGGCCTCCCCAGACTCCGGAGGCTCTCTGGAAGCCAGAAATGGACCCATTTCCGGCTTTCCCAAACTTCCGGGAGGCCCATTTTTCACCTTCCCTGAGCTTCTACGTGG